TGCCGCCGGCCTCGGCTCTCCTGTTGCCGGGCGCGGCTCGGCCCGACTGTCTTAAATTCGCCGCTACTGAGGTTTGTGTTGCGAAATCAGGAGTAGGAGAAGCGGGGACAGTCTCTAGTAAGCGGGTCTGGGTGTCCGCGGGCCGGTGGCTCGCTCGGATGGGTGTGCGTGCGAAGCCCTGGTGCCTTTGTGACCTCCTGAAGCAGGTCGAGAGCGAGTATTTATTAACATTTAAAAAACCTGTAGCGCAGGGGCTGCCCTACAGCTTAAACCTTAGCGGCAGAAGTGGATGTCTAGGGTCAGGGTATGGTGGAATTTTAATCTGATTCCAGGAAACAAACCTGATTAACCCATCGATTTACTTCCTTGCTGCTGTTTGCCATTCTCACAGTGAACATCTTTCCACCATAGAAAAAGACACCAACGGAGATGCTTTGTGGGTTTGGTGTTATCCGTCCATAACAGCTGAACTGAGGAGTCTGTTGCTGCGAAAGTGCTGCCTCACAGATGAAAATAATTTGCTTCATACGTTTGTCTTTGGCCAATATAAAAGGTCCTGGTTCTACATCACAACTGTGGAAGTCCAAGATTCTCCAGCCTTGAAAAAGGTAGGACTTGGCTGGCTGGATTTGGAGCAGAGTGCAGGGGGGACTTCTGCAGGATTCCCTCTGGCTCTTTGAGCAGTGTTTTCCCAGTGCATGCTGTGGGGAAGGGAAGGGATTCGAGGTTTTGTGTGCTCACAAGTGCAGCTCTTACAGCTGCCTAACCAGTCTGCACGTTAGGATTTTCACCAAGATATAACTTGGATGGAATTGCAGAGGGATTGACATACTAGTTATATAATTTAGATTTGCTGTATTACAATGGAAATTCTTTTTTTTGCTGTTACTTCTAGTTACTTTGCACTTCAAATCCAGCAATTTTTTTTTTTATTTTTTTTTTTTTGTGAGATAAAAAAAACAGGGAGCCTTTTGTAGTGTCCAAAACCATGTTTTTATTTATTTATGTGGTGAGATGGGGACATGTGGAGAGATTATTTGTGGAGGAGATGTTATTTATTTACATGAGCCTGGTCATTGTCTGAAGACTTTTAGTCTCATATTTTCCTAGCCCATAACCATGAAATTAAGGAAGTTAGAGTGTTTCTGTTTGTGGCCCTGCTCTCTGTGAGTTTATTTGCAGTCTCTCTCTAAATGCATTGATGCAGTCTGCCTCCAGGGCCTCCTTTGGCAACAAGTTTGGGAATTTTTCCCACTTTTTTTTTTTTTAAAAAAAACACTCTGTCAGAGTACTGCAATAAGTTTAATGATGTGAAAAAGGCTGCTTGCATGGGGGCATTAAATAAGCTGTGTGCTTTTCTGTCTCTTATGCAGGTGACCCACTTCTCCATTGTCCTGACAGCCAAAGACTTCAACCCAGAGAAATACGCTGCCTTCGCTAGGATACTCTGTAGGTCTGTATAAGAGCTGTTTTGGGTGCCTCTGCCTGTTTTGGGTACTGCTGTGTGCATGCTTAGGTCTTGCCAAGGCAAAAGAATAAATTTCATTGGGTTGTGTTTGCATTTGCTCTAATAATCTGCTGGAAGCTCGGTCCTACAAACTGAATCAGATGATATAAATCCTTGATTTGAGCTTATCTTGAGTTCATGCAGCAAGTGTTGAGTGAATTCAGGTGCCCAGCAGATTTCAATGTGTCTTCTCCAGACACACACCACCACCCACACACTCAGTTTCTTCAAGAACATATTTTTCAGAAGCACTAAATATTTTGGAGGAGGTCAGTGCAGTGTAGTCAAAGGTCACCCTGTGTATGGTGGTCAGCTTTCATCCCTCCACAACATCTCTACTACACTAGACACTTCTTGCAGCCCCTCTGACCTAAGCACAGCAAGCAGGGGCAGTTTTGCTTTTCCCCTAGGAAGGTGAGAGCCCTCTGCCTCTCAAGGTCTATGGCTCTGCCATCTCCTCCTTCCCTTGTCCCATTTACTCACTTTCCTCCCCATACCCATTCTCCTGAGCTCTGTCTGCATCTTCCTTTGCTTTTCCTTCAGTTCCCACATTAGCTGGGTCCTGGTTCTTCATACCAAGAGTATTCCCTGAGATTTTGCAGCTTTGTGGGTTCTTGTATCTGTATTGTACAGAGTTGGGAGTGCCATCAGGCTCACCAGTTCTGCAGGGCATCAAAAAGCTGAGATTGTTCTTTTTCACTGATATGAGAAATATTTAATTAGCTGTGAAACACATTAGTGCTGATGTATTAGATGATCCTTTTTTCCAGAATGGATTCCTCTGAATGTGATAAGTGAGTTTCAAACGTGGCATAGCCTTGTACTGTAGCTACTGTGAAAACAGAGAGCTGAGAGCTTCCGTGCTGTTCCTGAAGTACCTTGAGCTCTGAAACAGGTTCTGGTGTCTTCTGCTGTCTGCATGGGGTGTGTTGGTGTGTGGTTGTGTTGTGTTGCTGTGGTGGTTTTTAATGAGTATCAAGGACATATTTTTATATTTTTCATTTAACAAAGATTACAGAAAAATGTCTCATGATACTTGGATAAAAAAATTAAAAACTAGTCACATGGTCTGTGTGTAATGACAGGAATTACTGTAGTAGGTTCTTTTTCATAAAGCAGGTGCCTTCCAAGTCTGCAAAGAATCCTTAGTCTGGACACCTGCTTAGACCTTTCTGCTGTGTTTCTGTGTTGGTACTTGTTGGTTCTTTCATAAAACATGAAAGTCAAATGAAAACACAAGGTATTTTTACCCTCAAAGACAGACATGGACTTAGTGTACCTCGACCAGGTGTCCAAAGAAAGAATTCTTGTCAATAAAATTGCTATTTGGGATAGTTCTATTCCCCCCACCTCACACATCTGCTGATACTGATATCAGTCAAAATACCAAATGCTGTTCTTTTCACACAGAATCTACTTGAAGCATGGAAGTCCAGTTAAGATGATGGAGAGCTACATTGCAGTCCTTACCAAGGGGATCTGCCAAAGTGAAGAAAATGGCTCTTTCCTCAGCAAGGATTTTGATGCTCGGAAGGCTTATCTTGCTGGTTCTATCAAAGGTCAGTTCATACAAGAAGTCTCTATTCTGATTTATTTTGTACAATATAAAATACAGACCACTTTTCACGTGTGCTTCAAGTAAATAGTGTTAACAGTGTTATCTGTACTGTTATTATTAAGCTTTTTCAGAAAACAAATTAGAATAGCAGAATGTATATCTTCTGTAAAATAATTTTCCCCTCTTTTCTAGACATAGTATCTCAGTTTGGAATGGAAACTGTTATCTTGTATACAGCACTGATGTTAAAGAAGAGAATTGTAGCATACCATCCTAGAATAGAAGCTGTCCAGGAGTTTACCAGGTACTTTGTCAATCCCTACATCTCTTCTCCTCAAAGTCCAACAAGTCTTGAACCTTCACTGGGAGACACGCTCACATTTAAGGGAAAAACATTAAGGCTGTTTATTGTAATCCTGCTGAGTACCTCTTAATGTTTTAGCCATATGTCCATCAACTGAGAGAAATTCAACTGTAGAATGAGAGAGAAACTCTGCTTGAACTCCCAGTGGAAATCTCTGTGGTTCATGTCTATGCTTGTTGGTTGGGACCCAGCCATACTTGTTTTTCTTATATATTTCATACTATGAAACTTTAGGTAAAAATCTACTTCATGTCAAGTACCAATCTCAATTCCCTAGGACTTTGCCTGCTTTAGTGTGGCATCGACAAGACTGGTCAATTCTTCATTCATATGTACATCTAAACGAGGAGGAAGTGGAAGCCTTGAAAGCCTGCACAGGTAGTGATCATCTACTCATTGAAACTGAAGTTAAATTTGCTTCCTGTCTTTTAGTCCTGCGACATCTTACACCGTTGCTCTTTGAGGAAAAATCTGTTGCTGTTAATGTTATTGTTCAGAGTTAAACCACATCCTTTTCTTTAGGAGAAGCAAACTGACTGATCAAGTCTGTTAGAAGGGAACTGGTTGATCTGGTGTAGCTGGGTGGATCTGCATCAACCTATCCCTCACTGAAGATGTAAAGCAGCCTTGAGAGTTGTTTGATAGTGTCATCAGAGAGATTGAAAGTCCTACCTGTGGACAGAAGTAACTCGCTTTAGATTAGCTACTTGTTTTCCAACTTCTGCATGTAGCCAGTAACTTCATTTTTAGGAATTTTTGTTTGTTTTCAGTTCCTAACTTGTAGTTGGACCAGATTCAAGGCTACTCATCTTGACTATTTCCAGTGCGTTACCAACAGTGCTTGTTTGAGATCACTGAGCATCTTCCACAGAGAAAAGCTGCTCCAAAATTGCCCACCTGGCATGCTACAAATAAGAAAATCTGCTGGTTTTATTCCTCTGTTCCAGTCTAATACTGACTTACTGGCAAGGGTCTCCGGAGTGGAGATTCTTCTGAAGAGGAAGTTCAGTGGCTTTTTCATTTGCAAATTAATAGTTTTAGTAGTGAGGTGGGGAAAG